TTAAACAGTTAAATTATTTCTAGTGGTAGAAAATGCTACACGATGAGTAATAAGTAGTGCCATAAATTTAATTTGATTTTACTGCTTTAATTCTTAAGAGTATGGAGTTGAAAGATCTTGCTCTTGAGGCTAGTTAAAATAGGAGTTTTAAGGGGATAATAAAAATGTTTTAATTTGTTGTACAAATTAATTCAAATTTAGTAATAAATTCTTATTCTCTATTTTATATTTGTCTTTATTCTGTTAGCTTCAAGCTAGCAGCGCCACGATTTTTTCTTAAATGATACGGAATGCAAAATTATTTTTTGTGATACAAAATAAGCACTAAATAGTTCACTTGGTTGCATTCGATTTTGCTCCTGCCAGCTTAGGAGAACTGAGGGCATATATGTTCTAAAGATAAATCGCTATTATCAACTAGGTCTGAAGTGATTTTTCATGAATATTTCATTCTAAGTGGCATATACAGGATAGTCCACCAAAAATAACATGAAAATTTTTTCCATGGACTCATTTTTTTCGGGAGTGCAACAATGTACAAAATAGTGCAAAAGTTCCACTTTTTTTATGTAAATATATATATTTTTGCATATGTAGGTTTTTTTGTAAACAAAATCTTCACAATTTTATGGACTGTACTGTTTATGCGGTGGTAAAGGTATCGCGTGACAGAATATATCGAATGGACAATTGCGAGAGTGGTATGAGAATAATGAGTCTGCGGACAAAAAACAAGTGTCTTATGCCCCATACTTACTGTGATCGCGATTAACTTCTTTCTGATTTGTTGCAAATTTTAGCGCGAGCTGCGATCATTAATACGTACAGGTGAAGTTGGTTTCAAGTGCTTCCTGTATCCGAGCGGAGTCGACGAATTTCCACATGTTTCTATGGACGACGTGAAAAAACTTTGATGAAGTTACTGTCAACAAAAACTGTGTTAACTGTACTTGTTACATTTTCTCTTGTATTCTTATCGAATTTCATCATATTTCTACGAGTTCTACGGCACAGCTTGCTGTGCGCTTATCAGAAATAACAATTTATTATTACATATGAGAGTCAAACTTGCTCGACGAGACAACGCGATTCTCATGTGATAACTCGATATCTTGAAATATACATACGTGTGTTTAGGAACAATTGTGGCACGGTATTAAAAACAAAACGTTGAATATGGTCGTCTCGGATCATTCACTTTATGTGCCAGAATTGAAAACACGCGGAGATTTTTTGACTGCTTGGGATGGAATCTCTTCGGTGCAATTTGGTGCGTGTGTATGCAAAATCAAATTTGTTAAAAGATAAAAAATGTGAAATAGAAATAATGTGAGAAAAAAACAGATTTTTCTTTAATTACATGTAGGATTGTCACTGACGTAGACAGCCGCGAGAACGAGAGATATATTATTTTCCGATGTTTCAAAGCTATTAAGCAGCCAGCCGGCGAGATTGTGCGGTCTCGAAGACCGCAAAGGTCGTTTATTGGAAGTTATGGATGCGGATTTCGTTGTTTGTGATCCAGACATCATTGTTAAGGTCAGTTTTATTTACATTGCATAAATCTTGAAAAATATGGAATAATCTTTTTTAGGAGTATATCATAAAAAAATGTCTCGTTTCTTGATCGAGATAGAAAATATATGTCATAAGAATAAAGTAAGTACATACGTCATACATTAAAAATATAAAGAAACGTGGTAAAAATTTAAAAAATTTTTGGAAATATTTAATTTTGCAGTTAACACTGTATCAAGGAAAGACTTTATACAAAACAATTTATTTTCAAAGACGAAAAAATCTGCAATAAACATATGAAAAAATTATTGTTGCGTGCAAATATTTTGTAAACAATACAAACCTAGTAAATATTGTTTTATTTTACAACTTAAGAATCTTCTGATTACAATTGTCAAAGAAATGAAAAGCAGAAAAATTGGAATAATACATTATGCAAAATATTATTACTTAAATATATTCACATAAATATATTTTGTGCCATTAAAGTTATATTCTTCCCGTGTTTACCAGAAGCTGTTAAAATACTAAGTCTATACTCAGGTAAAGTATTTAATTGATGATTTGCTTTTCTTCTATTTAAAATTTTTAGCATGAAATTTGTCTGTTAAGATACGTAAATGCAATATTGATTTTAAGAGGTAACTTTATGTTTAAATAACGCCGGTCAACGTTGGTGAATTTCACAGTTTTTTAAATACGAATCAATTCTATCTAACAAGATAGTTTTATAAAATATGCTAATTAATATATCATAGTAACTTGATAACCAGGAAATAATTTTTTGAGTGATAAAAATGTTATGAAGTGAGATCTAGCTGTCCTTACTACTTGTAATCAAGTGTCACATTGTAGTTACGATTCAAAAATATATTATATACCAATAATTACATTTGAAATAACGGTCCTTTTTAAATGCTAATCACAAATTTATGTAAATTAAAACGGTAATATTGCTAACCAGTGCACGCACGTATCACTTTTAACACAATGTAATACTTCGTTCGCAAAACAAGAAATCAAACTGAGATATCTGGTGAGTCTTTTCTGGCACGGTCGCAAGCCACTGCTGGACAACAATATTTTATTGATATCATACTCCTGCTGAGAATTCGCTGGCATGACTTTTGCATCTACTTCTCGTTCGAAAATTATAGCACAAATAATACGTGCAATTTTTGCCACAGCTGCGTCGCGCGCAATCTGTGCTATATTGCTGGAAATTGCATAGGCACAAAATCGCAAGATAGCAGAAAATTCAAAAACCCCTATATCAATGTGCCCCTATGCAAATTCGTCGGCGTGCATCAATTACTTCCGTCAATGGGGAGGGCATATATGTTCCAGAGGTAAATCACTACTTCCGACCTGGGAGGTCTAAAGTGGCATTTTATGGACATTTCATTCGTTTCAAAATAATTTATATGTGTCACGCTAAAGGTATCGCATGATGTGGTGGAGTATATCGAATGGACAATTGAGGGTGTGCTATGAGAATAATGAGACTGCGCGAACAAAAGCAAGTGTTCTATGTCCCGTGGAAATTCGTCGACCACACTCGGGCATAAGAAGGGGGGGGGGGGGAATACTTGTAACCAACTACACCTGCGCGTATCAACGATCGCAGTTCAGTTGCTAAAAATTGCAACAAATCAGAAAGAAATTAATCGCGATTATCGTAAGGACATTGCACGTTCGCTTTTTGTTCGTGCAGTCTCATTATTCTTATAGTACTTCCGCAATTGTCCATGCGACCTTACGTCGTTATACCTTTATTACTATGTACATATGCCACTTTGACTGAAGTATCTCTGAAATGCTACTTCAGATCTGGCTGGTCAAAAGTAGCAATTTGAAATAAATGTGCTCTTCTCATTGGTGAAAGTAATTGGTCTACGCCGTCGATTTCTGCCATCTCACAATTTCGTACCTAAGCTACAGTTTCCAATAAATTTGCACAGATTGCACGTACCGTATCAACGACAAAAGTTGCAGCTGTCATTTGTATTTTAACTCTTAAGCAGAGAACAAGCAGATACTAAAGTCATGTTAGAGCATTTTGAGCGGGAGTACAGTGTGAACAAAAAATATTTGTACTGGTTAGGCGCGTGGCCGTACCAGAGTAAACTGTCAAGCAATTTGATTACGATTTCCTGCTGGGTGTACGAATTGTCTTACTATCCGTTGCAGGTAATTCGCGCGTACATTAACAATATTACACAGTTTTTTAATTGTCAGTTAAAAAGTTTTATTACTCCAAACATAATTAATGTGTAACATCTTTTTTTGGATCGTAATTATAACTGTGATATTTAGATATTAATGTTATACGATTATTGGAATGATCCGGAACTTGTTTTTGAAATTTGCTATCAATTTGTTTCATTAACCGGCTTTATTGTAAAAATGTTCAACCCGATTTGGAACCGCGAAAAGGTAAGCTCACAACACTATTTTCTCGTGTAGACTTTCAATTATAATTTTCATAAAATCTTGTTTCGTATATTATACTAATTTGAATTTATTGCAATAGTTGAAACGTATATGCATCCTCATGAACGATCATTGGAATATATTTACGAGCAAAATGGAAGTTCAAACTCTCAAAGATTCTTCTAATATATCGCGAAAATTAACAGTTGGGTACACCAGTGAGTATGTTATATTACTATAGAAATAATACATTTTTTGTTAAGAAATTATCGACTTAATTACATTATCTGTAAATACATATAATATATAGAAAATATAATAAATTACAGCGTGGATAAGTTTTCTCACAGTGTTTTATGTGATAACTCCGTTAACACCGGTTTTTCTCGATATAATAGACCCGCTTAACGAAACACGTCCGCGATTATTTCCGGTAACTGCAAATTTTAGAATAGATGAGGAGAAGTATTATGCGCAACTTTATGTTTACATTGTTAGTATGATTCTGATTGGCGTGTCCAATGCGATTACTACTGATTGTATATATCTTGTCAGTATCATTCACGCTTGTAGTTTATTTTCAACCATTAGGTACGTATAGATAACACATATGATACTTTAATTTATTCGTGGAATATCTCATTGCAAATCTTATTTCGCAGTCGGCAATTAGAAGAAATAGTAACAAAATTTTCCGTCAAAAAAGATACAAGGAGAATTGAATGTTGCATACAGACGAAGTTGGAATTTGAGAATGAGCAAATGATATACCAAGAATATATTAAATGCTTAAAAAAATATCAGCTTGCTTTAGAGTAAGAAATTTTTCATAATAATTTTTGCGCGATTATTCTGTGTCCAGAAGTAATATATATCTATATTATTATTGTTTTACAGATTTGTCGATATATTGAATTCAGCGTATGAAATGATTTCATTATTTTTATTACTATTATACGGCGCAACTGCAACTTTTATTGCAATACAAGTAAACATTACCCGTTTATTTACAATAAGAAAGAGAGAATAAATATTTCTATTGAAAAAAAATTTATTTTACATGTAGAACATTTAAAAATGTCTTTTCCTTGTTTATACACTATCGATTTATCTTTGAAGTCGAAAACTTTGAAGTGTTAATGCGTTCAAATATAACACACTCCATTAATTCAAATTATTACATTATTACATAAAAATGCAATATATTTAATATAAATACTGAAATACTTTGAACATATTGCAGATATTAAATATATTAGATCGATTCGAAGATGTATTAAGATATATGTTTGAAGTCGTAGCAATGTTGGTTCAACTCATAATCTTATGTTATTCTGGCCAAAAATTAAGAGACGAAAGTCAGAATGTATTTCACCGAGCGTAAGAATAATTTTTATTAATTACATTTCCATGTACATTTATGTGTTCTATTAAACTCAAAATAATTAATATCAATTATCTAACCAAAATAAAAAGCAACCTACAATTTGTGGATAAATTTTTACAAAATTAAATTCTGAAATTTATTAAATGGATTTAACGCTTTTTCTAGATTATAATTAATCTGCCATATTCTTTTATAATGTTTTGCATGATATTAATGAAATCTTTTAGAAATTGAAATATTAAACTCAATTCTGATATATAGACGAATTTACTTACTATTTATATATATTTATTAAAATTCTGTATAAAAAATTATTTAAATTTTTTTCTGAAATAAAGTTTCATGTAAACCGTAAGTTTCAAACTTTTCTTCCAGATATGCTGCCGAATGGTACAATTGCTCTCCGCGATTAAAATCTTTGTTAATTATAACTCTTTACAGAAGTTCTATACCTTGTGGTTTGACAGCTGGCAACATGATGCCGTTGTCAATAGAGACTTATGGTTTTGTAAGTACGCAAATTTATAACTGATTTGTATTGTAAACAAAACAATTTATATACTTGATTACAGGTAGTACGGACGATCTTATCTTATTTCATGACATTTTTATCACTCAAAGAAGCTATTTCTTAGTTAGTAAGTTACTACGTTATATTAATTAGTATATTTTATAAATCAGTTTGTTATAAATATTAGTGATTCGTTACTGTTCGTATTTAGTGTGAAGTTAACCGGTGTTGACCGATATTAAACACAAAAATCATCTTAAAATTAACGCAGCACTTGCGTAATTTAAGTCACAATTGAATTTTACACTTAAAATTTTAAATGCAAAGAAAAAAACGAATAATCAATCATATATTTTTATAAACATAATGTGCGGACACAGAGTTTCTTCTAATTATTCGATTAATTTTGTAACGTTTGAATAACATTTAAACAGTTAAATTATTTCTAGTGGTAAAAAATGTTACACGATGAGTAATAAGTAGTGTCATAAATTTAATTTAATTTTACTGCTTTAATTCTTAAGAGTTTGGAGTCGAAAGATCTTGCTCTTGAGGCTAGTTAAAATAGGAGTTTTAAGGGGATAATAAAAATGTTTTAATTTGTTGTACAAATTAATACAAATTTAGTAATAAATTCTTATTCTCTATTTTATATTTGTCTTTATTCTATTAGCTTCAACCTAGCAGCGCCATGATTTTTTCTTAAATGATACGGTAAATGCAAAATTATTTTTTGTGGTACAAAATAAGTACTAAATAGTTCACTTGGTTGCATTTGATTTTGCTATTGCCAGCTTAAGAGAACTGAGGGCATATATGTTCTAAAGATAAATCGCTATTATCACCTAGGTCTGAAGTGGTTTTTCATGAATATTTCATTCTAAGTGGCATATACAGGATAGTCCACCAAAAATAACATGAAAAATTTTTTTATGGACTCATTTTTTTCGTGAGTGCAACAATGTACAAAATAGTGCAAAAGTTTCACTTTTTTTTATGTAAATATATATATTTTTGCATATGTAGGTTTTTTTGTAAAAAAAATCCTTACAATTTTATGGACTGTACTGTTTATGCGGTGGTAAAGGTATCGCGTGGCAGAATATATCGAATGGACAATTGCGAGAGTGGTAGGAGAATAATGAGTCAGCAGACAAAAAGCAAGTGTCTTATGCCCCATACTTACTGTGATCGCGATTAATTTCTTTTTGATTTGTTGCAATTTTTAGCGCGAGCTGCGATCATTAATACGCACAGGTGAAGTTGTTTTCAAGCGCTTCCTGTATCCAAACGAAGTCGACGAATTTCCATATGTCTCTACGGACGACGTGAAAAAACTTTGATGGAGTTACTGTCAACAAAAACTGTGTTAGCTGTATTTTTTACATTTTCTCTTGTATTCTTATCGAATTTCATCATTTTTCTACGAGTTCTACGGCACAGCTTGCTGTACACTTATCAGAAATAACAATTTATCATTACATATGAGAGTCAAACTTGCTCGACGAGACAACGCGATTCTCATGTGATAACTTGATATCTTGAAATATACATACGTGTGTTTAGGAACAATTGTGGCACGGTATTAAAAACAAAACGTTGAATATGGTCGTCTCGGATCATTCACTTTATGTGCCAGAATTGAAAACACGCGGAGATTTTTTGACTGCTTGGGATGGAATCTCTTCGGTGCAATTTGGTGCGTGTGTATGCAAAATCAAATTTGTCAAAAGATAAAAAATGTAAAATAGAAATAACGTGAGAGAAAAACAGATTTTTCTTTAATTACATGTAGGATTGTCACTGACGTAGACAGCCGCGAGAACGAGAGATATATTATTTTCCGATGTCTCAAAGCTATTAAGCAGCCAGCCGGCGAGATTGTGCGGTTTCGAAGACCGCAAAGGTCGTTTATTGGAAGTTATGGATGCGGATTTCGTTGTTTGTGATCCAGACAGCACTGTTAAGGTCAGTTTTATTTACATTGCATAAATCTTGAAAAATATGGAATAATCTTTTTTAGGAGTATATTATAAAAAAATGTCTCGTTTCTTGATCGAGATAGAAAATATATGTCATAAGAATAAAGTAAGTACATACGTCATACATTAAAAATATAAAGAAACGTGGTAAAAATTTAAAAAATTTTTGGAAATATTTAATTTTGCAGTTAACACTGTATCAAGGAAAGACTTTATACAAAACAATTTATTTTCAAAGACGAAAAAATCTGCAATAAACATATGAAAAATTTATTGTTGCGCGCAAATATTTTGTAAACAATACAAACCTAGTAAATATTGTTTTATTTTACAACTCGAAAAAACTTCTGATTACAATTGTCAAAGAAATAAAAAGCAGAAAAATTGGAATAATACATTATGCAAAATATTATTACTTAAATATATTCACATAAATGTTATTTTGTGCCATTAAAGTTATATTCTTCCCGTGTTTATCAGAAGCTGTTAAAATACTAAGTCTATACTCAGATAAAGTATTTAATTGATGATTTGCTTTTTTTCTATTTAAAATTTTTAGCATGAAATTTGTCTGTTAAGATACGTAAATGCAATATTGATTTTAAGGTAACTTTATGTTTAAATAACGCCGGTCAACGTTGGTTAATTTCACAGTTTTTTAAATACGAATCAATTCTATCTAACAAGATAGCTTTATAAAATATGCTAATTAATATATCATAGTGACTTGATAACCAGGAAATAATTTTTTGAGTGATAAAAATGTTATAAAGTGAGATCTAGCTGTCCTTACTACTTGTAATCAAGTGTCCCATTGTAGTTACTATTCAAAAAATATTATATACCAATAATTACATTTGAAATGACAGTCTTTTTTAAATGCTATTCACAAATCTATGTAATTTAAAACGGTAATATTGCTAACCAGTGCACGCACGTATCACTTTTAAGACAATGTAATACTTCGTTCGCAAAACAAGAAATCAGACTGAGATATCTGGTGAGTTTTTTCTGGCACGGCCACAGGCCATCGCTGGACAACAATATTTTATTGATTTCATACTCCTGCTGAGAATTCGCTAGCATAACTTTCGCATCTACTTCTCGTTCGAGAATTATAACACAAGTAATACGTGCAATTTTTGCAATAGCTGCGTCACGCCCAATCTAAGCTATTTTGCTGGAAATTGCATAGGCACGAAATTGCAAGATAGCAGAAAATTCAGAAATCCCTATAGCAATGTGCCCCTATGCAAATTCGTCGGCGTGCACCTGTTACTTCCGTCAATGAGGAGGGCATATATGTATGTTCCAGAAGTAAATCACTACTTCCGACCTGGGAGGTCTGAAGTGGCATTTTATGGACATTTCATTCATAGCAAAGTAGTTTATCGTGTCGTCATAGGATATATCGAATGGACGATTGAGAGGGTATTATGAGAATAATGAGACTGCACGAACAAGAAGCAAGCGTTCAATTTTCCGTGAAAATTTGTCGTCTTCGCTCGCGCAAAAGTATGGGCACTTGAAACCAACTACACCTGCGCCTATCATCACCAGTTCTTGCAAAAAATTGCAACAAATCGGAAAGAAATTTATCGGAATCACTGTAAGAAAATGACATGAAACGCTTGCTTTTTGTTCGTGCGGTCTTATTATTCTTATAGTACTTCCTCAATTGTCCATCCGACCCTACGTCGTTATATCTTTATTACTATGTATATATGCCACTTTGACTGAAGTATCTCTGAAATGCTACTTCAGATCTGGCTGGTCAAAAGTAGCAATTTGCGTTTGAAATAAATATGCTCTTTTTATTGGTGAAAGTAATTGGTCTACGCCGACGATTTCTGCCACCTCACAATTTCGTACCTAAGCTACAGTTTCCAATAAAATAGCACAGATTGCACGTACCGTATCAACGACAAAAGTTGCAGCTGTCATTTGTATTTTAACTTTTAAGCAGAGAACCAGCAGATGCTAAAGTCATGCTAGAGCATTTTGAGCGGGAGTACAGTGTGAGCAAAAAATATTTGTACTGGTTAGGCGCGTGGCCGTACCAGAGTAAACTGTCAAGCAATTTGATTACGATTTTCAGCTTGGTGTACGAAATATCTTACTGTCCGTTGCAGGTAATGTGCGCGTACACTAACAATATTACATAGTTTTTTAATTGTCAGTTAAAAAGTTTTATTACTCCAAACATAATTATTGATGTGTAACGTTTTTTTTTTGGATTGTAATTATAATTGTGATATTTAGATAATAATGTTATACGATTATTGGAATGATCCGGAACTTGTTTTTGAACTTTGTTATCAATTTGTTGGAGTAATCTCTTTCATTGTAAAAATATTCAACACGATATGGAACCGCGAAAAGGTAAGCTCACAACAGTACTATTTTCTCATGCAGACTTTCAATTATAATTTTCATAAAATCTTGTTTCTTATATTATACTAATTTGTATTTGTTGCAATAGTTGAAACGTATATGCATCCTCATGAACGATCATTGGAATATATTTACGAGCAAATTGGAAGTTCAAAGTCTCAAAGATTCTTCTAATACATCGCGAAAATTGACAATTTATTATTCCAGTGAGTATGTTATATTACTATAAAAACAATACATTTTTTGTTAAGAAATTGTCGGCTTAAATATATTATCTGTAAATACATATAATATATAGAAATAAAATATATAGAAAATATAATAAAATTACAGCGTATATAACTGTTTCCACAACGTTTTATATGATAGCTCCGTTAACACCGGTTTTTCTCGATATAATACAACCGCTTAACGAAACACGTCCGCGATTATTCCCGGTAACTGCAAAATTCAGAATAGATGAGGAGAAGTATTATACGCAACTTTATTGTTGCATTGTCGGTATGTGTTCGATTGGCGTTATCAATTTGATTGCTAGTGATAGTACGTATTTTGTCAGTATCATTCACGCTTGTAGTTTATTTTCAACCATTAGGTACGTATAGATAACACATATGATACTTTAATTTATTCGTGGAATATCTCATTGCAAATCTTATTTCACAGTCGGCAATTAGAAGAGATAATAACAAAATTGCCCGTCAACGAAGATACAAGGAGAATTGAATGTTGCATACAGACAAAGTTAGAATTTGAGAATGAGCAAATGATATACCATGAATACATTAAATGCTTAAAAAAGTATCAGCTTGCTTTAGAGTAAGAAGTTTTTCATAATAAATTTTGTACGATTATTCTGTGTCCAGAAGTAATATATATCTATATTATTATTGTTTCACAGATTTGTCAATTTGTTGAATTCAACATATGATATGCTTTCTTTATTTTTATTACTATTATACGGCGCAACTGCAACTTTTGTTGGAATACAAGTAAACATTACTCGTTTATTTACAATAAGAAAAAGAAAATAAATATTTCTATAAAAAAAAATTTATTTTACATGTAGAACATTTCAAATTGTCCACGTTTCCTTGTTTATATGCTATTGATTTATCTTTGAAGTTGAAGACTTTGAAATCTTAATGCGTTCAAATACAACACACTTCGTTAATTCAAATTATTACATTATTACACAAATATGCAATATATTTTATATAAATGCTGAAATACTTTGAACATATTGCAGATATTAAATATATTAGATCGATTCGAAGATGTAATAAGATATTTGTCGGAAATCGTAATCATGTTAATTCAACTCATAATCTTATGTTATTCTGGCCAAAAATTAAGAGACGAAAGTCAGAATGTGTTCCACCGAGCGTAAGAATAATTTTTATTAATTACATTTGCATGTACATTTATGTGTTCTATTAAATTCAAAATAATTAATATCAATTATCTAATCAAAATAAAAAGCAACCTACAAATTGTGTATAAATTTTCTACAAAATTAAATTCTGAAATTTATTAAATGGATTTAAAGCTTTTTTCTGACAGATTATAATTAATGTGTCATAATCTTTTGTAATATTTTGCATGATATTAATGAAATCTTTTAGAAATTGAAAACATTAAACTCAATTCTGATATATAGACGAATTTACCTACTATTTATATACATGTATTAAAATTCTTTATAAGAAATTATTTAAATTTTTTTTTAAAGTAAAATTTTATGTAAACCGTAAGTTTCAAACTTTTCTTCCAGATATGCTGCGGAATGGTACAATTGCTCTCCGCAATTAAAATCTTTGTTAATTGTAACTCTTTATAGAAGTTCTGTACCCTGTGGCTTGACAGCTGGCAGCATGATTCCGTTGTCAATGGTGACTTATGGTTTTGTAAGTACGCGAATTTTGTACTGATTTCTATTGTAAACAAAACAATTTATATACTTGATTACAGGTAGTACGGACGATCTTATCTTATTTCATGACATTTTTATCACTCAAAGAAGCTATTTCGTAGTTAGTAAGTTACTACGTTATATTAATTAGTATATTTTATAAATCAGTTTTATTAAATACTAGTGATTCGTTACTGTTTGTATTTAGTGTGAAGTTAACCGGCGTTGACTGATGTTATTAAATACAAAAATCATCTTAAAATTAACGCAGCACTTGCGTAATTTAAGTCACAATCGAATTTCACGCTTAAAATTTTAAATGCAAAGAAAAAAAACGAATAATCAATCATATATTTTTATAAACATAATGTGCGGACACAGAGTTTCTTCTAATTATTCGATTAATTTTGTAACGTTTAAATAACATTTAAACAGTTAAATTATTTCTAGAAAATGCTACACGATGAGTGATAAGTAGTGCCATAAATTTAATTTGATTTTACTTTAATTCTTAAGAGTTCGGAGACGAAAAATTACTTTATATGAGTGTATAGAAAATATGTGTGTTATATTTTAACTACAAAATAAACAATACATTGAATGACACATAATGTTTTTTTGCGTTTATTAAAGCAGGTGTTCGAAATACTGCCTTCTATTACGCAAGCATAATTCTGCGCTTTATTTGCTTGTTGTAACTTGTCTTTTTTATTGCTAGTTGAATACTGTCGTCTTTTAAGCGAGGCATGGATTTACTAAATTATAGCGAGTACAAAAAAAGACATTCTTTTATGAAGTTTTTGCTCAGAGTACGTTTTTTAGATTGTTTACGTTGAGTGCGTAATGTTGTGATCTAATTGTTTGCCGCATTTGTACTCTGTTCATACTTGCTGTGTCGTTATCAGTGAAAACGCTATTGAAGGTCATATAAATTCTACTATGTAATACGTCACACAGAGGAAAAATATTATTGAAGGAGTTTTACGCTTTCTGTACGCATAAAATGCAATATTTACTAAACTATAGCGAATATCAAAAAAGTTTATTTACATTATTTATTCTACTCAAACTCCTCTTTCATCTCCTAGTTGGTTGACCTGACTTTTCGAATTACCCTGTATATGTTCTAAAGATAAATCACTATTATCGACCAGGTCTGAAGTGGTTTTTATGAATATTTTATTCTAACTGGCATATACAGGGTGATCCACGAAAAATAACATGAAAATTTTTTCTGTGGACTCGTTTTTTTTTCGTGGGTGCAGCAATGTACCAAAAAAGTGCAAAAGTTTAACATTTGTTTACGTAAATATATATTTTTTCGCATATGTAGGTTCTTTAGAAAAAAAAATTCTTACAATTTTGTGGACTCCACTGTCTATGCGGTGGTAAAGGTATCGCGTGGCAGAATATATCGAATGGACAATTGCGAGAGTGGTATGAGAATAATGAGTCTGCGGACAAAAAGCAAGTGTCTTATGTCCCATACTTACTGTGATCGCGATTAATTTCTTTCTGATTTGTTGCAATTTTTAGCGCGAGCTGCGATCATTAATACGCACAGGTGAAGTTGTTTTCAAGTGCTTCCTGTATCCAAACGAAGTCGACGAATTTCCATATGTCTCTACGGACGACGTGAAAAAACTTTGATGGAGTTACTGTCAACAAAAACTGTGTTAGCTGTACTTGTTACATTTTCTCTTGTATTCTTATCGAATTTCATCATATTTCTACGAGTTCTACGGCACAGCTTGCTGTGCACTTATCAGAAATAACAATTTATCATTACATACACTCAAAAAAATATTTCGCTGATGTAGTTAGATTTCTAGATATCGCAACAAGAATGTATCGCTATTTTTCGTATCTGTGAAAACATTGTTTGTCACATACAGAATTTATAACAGTAATGTTCTAGCAATAGCTTCTGAAAAATTTAGGTACCATTGCTAAATGTTATTCATTGCATGATCTAACACGTGATTGATCTTATATAGATAGGCGCTTTAGAGAAACTTTCTTTTTAAAGTTCACAAACAATACAGATATATATTCTGTTTCTGTCATCTAAACTGATTAAGTAATTACATATGCAATATCACAACAGTTGCTAATCATTTATCTGTTTTAGTTAATTTTTACACCTAGAAAATTTTAGCTATTATTGCAAGATCATTTTTTTGAGTGTATGAGAGTCAAACTTGCTCGACGAGACAACGCGATTCTCATGTGATAACTCGATATCTTGAAATATACATACGTGTGTTTAGGAACAATTGTGGCACGGTATTAAAAACAAAATTGAATATGGTCGTCTTGGATCATTCACTTTATGTGCCAGAATTGAAAACACGCGGAGATTTTTTGACTGCTTGGGATGGAATCTCTTCGATGCAATTTGGTGCGTGTGTATGCAAAATCAAATTTGTCAAAAGATAAAAAATGTAAAATAGAAATAACGTGAGAGAAAAACAGATTTTTCTTTAATTACATGTAGGATTGTCGCTGACGTGGACAGCCGCGAGAACGAGAGATATATCATTTTCCGATGTCTCGAAGCTATTCAATAGCCAGCCGGCGAGATTGTGCGGTCTCGAATACCGCAAAGGTCGTTTATTGGAAGGTATGGATGCGGATTTCGTTGTTTGTAATCCAGACAGCACTGTTAAGGTCAGTTTTATTTACATTGCATAAATCTTGAACAATATGGAATAATCTTCTTTAGGAGTATATCATAAAAAATGTTTCGTTTCTTGATCGAGATAGAAAATATATATCATAAGAATAAAGTAAGTAAATACGTCATACATTAAAAATATAAAGAAACGTGGTAAAAATTAAAAAAATTTTTGGAAATATTTAATTTTGCAGTTAACACTGTATCAAGGAAAGACTTTATATAAAACAATTTATTTTCAAAGACGAAAAAATCTACGATAAATTTATGGGAAAATTATTGTTGAGTGCAAAAATTTTGCAAACAATACAAATATAATACAATACAAATGTAAATGTTGTTTTATTTTACAACTCGAAAATCTTCTGATAACAATTGTCAAAGAAATGGAAAACAGAAAATTGGAATAATACATTATGCAAAATATTATTACTTAAATATATTCACATAAATGTTATTTTGTGCCATTAAAGTTATATTCTTTCCGTGTTTACCAGAAGCTGTTAAAATACAAAGTCAATACTCAGGTAAAGTATATTTGATTGATCATTTAATTTCCTTCTATTTAAAATTTTTAGCGTGAAATTTGACTGTTAAGGTACGCAAGTGCAGTATTGATTTTAAGGTGACTTTTATGTTTCAATAACGACGATCAGCGGTTAATTTCATACTTTTGTGATACGAACCATTACTATCTAATAAGATAGCTTTATAAAATATACTTAATATAACATAATCCCTGGTAACCAGGAAATAACTACATTTTGAGTGATAAGAATGTCATGAAGTAAGATCCAGCCGTCCGTACTACCTGTAATCAAGTATATAAATTGTTTTGCATACCATATCAGTTACAAATTCGCGTACTTACAAAACCATAAGTCTCTATTGACAACGGAATCATGTTGCCTGCTGTCAAACTACACGGTGCAACACTTCTATAAAGAGTGACAATTAACAAAGATTTTAGTCTCGGTGAGCATTTGTACCATTCCGCAGCATAACTGGAAGAATGAGTTTCAAACTTAGGGTTTACATGAAATTTTACTTTAGAAAAAAATTTAAATAATTTTTTATACAGGATTTTAATACATATATATAAATAGTAAGTAAATTCGTTTATATACCAGAATTGAGTTTAATATTTGTCAATTACTAAAAGATTTTATTATCATGCAAAACATTATACAAAAAGAATATGACACATTAATTATCATTCTGTCACGAAGAAACTTTAAATTCGTTTAACAAATTTTGGAATTTAATTTTGTAGATACTTATGTACAGATCGTTGGTTGCTTTTTAATTATTTTGGTTAATAGTAGTTGACAATACATAAATATGCAAAAGTAATTGATAGAAAATTATTCTTACGCTCGGTAGAATACATTCTGACTTTCGTCTCTTAACTTTTGGCCAGAATAACACAACATCAAGAGTTGTATTAAGATACCTATCGCCACGAAAGTGTATCTCATAACTTCTCGCACTCGATCTAATACATTTATGATCTACAATACATTCAAAGTATTTACGACTTTATATTATTAAATATATTGCATTTTTGTTTAATGATGTAATAATTTGGATTAATAGAGTGTGTTATATTTAAATGCATTAAGCTTCCAAAGTCTTGGACTTGAAAGATAAATCGGTAGCACAAGGAAAAGTGGATAATTTAAAATGTTCTACATGTAAAATAAATTTTTTTTTTTTTATATAAATATCTATTTTCTCTTTCTGTATGATGAATGAAAGGGTTATGATTAATTATGATAAATAAACACTTACTATTATTCCAATAAAAGTTACAACTGCGCCGTTCAATAGTAATGTAATTAATGAAATAATTTTATACGCTGAATTCAGCATATCGACAAATCTATGAAACAATAATAATACAGATTTACATATATTATATTTTATATTTGTGATTATATTAATACACAGAATATTTGCGCGAAAATTATTTAGAAAAACTTCTCACTCTAAAGCAAGCTGATACTTTTTTAAGCATATAATGTATCTCTGGTATATTATTTGCTCATTCTCAAATTCTAACTTCGTCTTCATGCGGCAACCGAATTTCCTAATATTTTTATTGGCATGCAGTTTTTTTATTACCTCTTCGAATTGTTGACTGTGAAATAAGATTTGCAATGAGATATTTCACGAAGTGATTAAATTATCGTATGTATTATATATACATACCTAATAATTGAGAATAAACTGCAAGCGTGAATGATACAGATAAGAAACGTTGAATTACTAGCAGCCAAACCGAGAATGCTGAACACAATCATACTGACAATGTAGCAGTAAAGCTGTGTGTAATATTTCTCATCGTCTATTCTAAATTTTGCAGTCAATGGGAATAATCGCGATCGCGATTCGTTAAGTGGATGTATCATATCGAGGAAAACTGGTGTTAATGGAGCTAATATAAATATTATTGTCATGCTATATATCATCACTGTAATTTAATGTATTTTTATATATTTACGGATTATGTAAGTAAGTCAATATTTAAAAAAAAAAAAAACTAAGTATGAAGTTTCTTTATATAGTATACTTACCGGTGTAAGCAAATGTTAATTTTCGCGTGATATTAGAGTAATCTTTGAGAGTTTGAACTTCCAATTTACTAGTAAATATATTCCAATGATTGTCTATGGCTTTGTACATACGTTTGATCTGATTATTGCAACAAATACAAAAACAATTTAGTACAACGTAAAGATAGGTAGAATAGATTTTATTGAAATTATAATCGGAAGTTTCTCGAGAAAATAGTGCTCTTTCGTAAACTTACCTTTTCACGCTGCCAAAACACGTTGAATATTTGTCCGATTATGGCGCTTGTTGCGACACATTGATAGCAAACTTCGAAAACAATATCCATATCTTCCCAATAATCGAACAGCGTTAATATCTAAGAAATATCACAACAGTAATTACGAGTAAGAAAAATAATATATACCAATAATCATGTTTGAAATAACAGTTCTTTTTAAATGCTAATCTCAAAGCTGTGCAAATTGAAATAGTAATATTGCTTATCGGTGTACGCACGCATTACCTCTAACAGAACGTAAGATACTTCGCTCGCAAAACAAGGAATCAGAATCAGGTATCTTATGAGCTTATTCTGATACGGCCACAGGCCAATGCTGGACAACAATATCTTATTGATGTTATACTCGCGCTGAAAATTTGCCAGCATGACTCTTGCATCTATTCCCTGTTCAAGAGTTGCGGCACAAATGATACGCGCAAATTTTGCCGCTGCTACGGTATGCGCAATCTATGCTATTTTACCGGGAATTGTACCATAGCTACGAAATTGCAAGATGGCAGAAATCGTCGGCGTGCGCCTATTACTTCCGTCAATGGGGAGGGCATATATGTCCCAAAGGTAAATCGCTACTTTCGACCAGCGAGGTCTCAAGTGACATTTAATGGATATTTCATTCATTTCAAAGTAGTTTATACGTTTCGTGGTAAAGGTATCGCATGACGTGGTAGAGTATATCAAATGGACAATTGAGGGGGTGCTATGAGAATAATGAGACTGCGCGAACAAAAAGCAAGTGTCCTATTTCCCGTGGAAATTCGTCGACTCTACTCGGGCATAAGAAGGGGTACTTGAATCCAACTACACCTGCGCGTATCAATCAAGATCGCAGTTGATGCTAAAAATTGCAACGGATCAGAATGAAATTAATCGCAATCACTGGAAGGACAGGTCAGAGGACGCTTGCTTTTTGTTCGTGCGGTCTCATTATTCTTATAGTACTTTCTCAATTGTCCATCCGACTCTGGGCGCCGTTGTGTGATGCCTTTACTGCTGCGTATATATGCCACTTTGAAAAAAGTATCCATGAAACGCCACTTGATCTGGCTGGTCGAAAGTGGCAATTTGCATTTGAAACAAATATGCCCTTTCCGTTGGCGGAAGTAATTGGTGGGCGATTTCTGCCACCTTGCAATTTCGTACTTGAGCTACAGTTTCCTGCAAAATAGCACAGATTGCACGTGCCGTATCAAAAGCTGCACTTGTTATTCGTACTGTAACTCTTCAGCAGAGAGCAAGCAGATACTAAAGTCATGCTAGAGCATTTTGAGCGGCAGTACAATGTCATTAAAATATATCTGTCTTACTTAGGCGTGTGGCCGTACCAGAGTAAACTATCAAGAAATTTAATTTCAATTTCATGCCTTGTGGTCCAAATATCTTACTATCCATTTCTGGTAATGCGCGCGTACACTGACAATATTACCATTTTAATTTACATGGTTTTTTAATTGACAGTTAAAGAGTTTTGTTGCTCCACACGTAATTATAATGTATAACTTTCTTTTTGGATCGTAATTATTACTATGATATTTAGATATTAATGTTGCACGATTATTGGAAGAATTCGCAAGTTGTTTTTGAGATTTGCTATCAATTTGCCGCATTAAACTCTACAGTTGGAAAAACATTTAACTTGATTTGGAACCGCCAAATGGTAAGCTCACAACAGTACTATTTTCTCATGTTGACTGACTTTCAATTATAATTTTCATAAAATCTTACTTTTTATATTGTACTAATTTGTATTTGTTGCAACAGTTTAAACGTATGTGCACCGCCATGAATGATCATTGGAATATATTTACTAGCAAATTGGAAGTTCAAACTCTCAAAGATTATTCTAATATGTCGCGAAAATTGACAATTTTTTATTCTAGTGAGTATGTTAGATTATTACTACAGAAACAATACATTTTTCGTTAAGAAATTATCAACTTAATTACATTATCTGTAAATACATATAATATATAAAAAACATAATAAATTACAGCGTGGATATTTTGCTTAACAATAATTTTTATGATAATACCGTTAACATCAGTTTTTCTCGATATAATACGTCCGCTTAACGAAACACGTCCGCGATTACTGCCAATGACTACAAAATTCAGAATAGATGAGGAGAAATATTACACACAGCTTTATTGTTACATTGTGAGTTTGATTATGGTTAGCATTATCAGTATGGTTGCAAATGATACTACGTTTCTTGTCTGTACCATTCACGCTTGTAGTTTATTCGCAATTATTAGGTATGTATGCATAATACGTACGATACTCTAATTTATTCGTGAAATATCTGATTGCAAATCTTATTTCACAGTCGGCAATTAGAAGAGATAATAACAAAACTGCATGTCAACAAAGATACTAGGAAGATTGAATGCTGCATAAAGACGAAGTTAGAATTTGAGAATGAACGAATGATATATCAGGAATACATTATATGCTTAAAAAAATATCAGCTTGCTTTAGAGTAAGAAGTTCTTTTAAATTATGTTTGCGCGATAATTCTGTGTACAGAAGTAATATATATCCATATTATTATTGTTTCACAGATTCGTCGATATGTTGAATTCAACGTATCAAATTATTTCATTATTTTTATTAATGTTGTACGGAGCAATTATAACTTTTCTTGGAATACAAGTAAGCGTTACCCGTTTATTTATAATATATAAAGAGAAAATAACTGTTTCTATAGAAAAAAATTTATTTTTTATGTAGAACATTTTAAATTGTCCACTTTTCCTCGTTTACTTGCTGTCGATTTATCTTTCAAGTCGAAGACGTCGAAATCTTAATGTATTCAAATATAATTTCATTAATCCAAATAATTACATTATTACATAGAAATTCATTATATTTAAAATTATATTTAAAATTTATTATATAAATTATTATATAAAAGCTTAAATACTTCGAATGAATTGTAGATCATAAATGTATTAGATCAATTAGAAGGTGTAATAAGATATATCTTCGTAATCATAGCCATATTAATACAACTCATGATCTCATGTTATTCTGGCCAAAAATTAAGAGACGAAAGTCAAAATGTATTCTACCGAGCGTAAGAATAATTTTTTATTAATTACTTTTGCATGTATATTTATGTGTTGTAGATTTCTATTTAACTCAAAATAATTAATATCAATCTTTTAATCAAAATAAGTAAAAAGCAATCTACAATCTGTGTATAAATTTCTACAAAATTAAATTCTGAAATTTATTAAATGGATTTAAAGCTTCTTCCAGAATTATAATTAATGTGCCATATTTTTTTTGTATAATGTTTTGCATGATATTAATAAAATCTTTTAGAAAGTGAAGTATTAAACTCGATTCTGATATATAGACGAATTTACTTAGTATTTATATATATTTATTAAAATTCTGTATAAAAAATTATTTAAATTTTTTTCTAAAGCCAAATTTCATGTAAACCCCAAGTTTCGAACTTTTCTTTCAGATATGCTGCGGAATGGTACAATTGCTCACCGAGATTAAAATCTTTATTAATTGTAACTCTTTACAGAAGTGTTGTACCCTGTGGTTTGACAGCAGGCAACATGGTTCCGTTGTCAATGGTGACTTATGGTTTGGTAAGTATGCGGATTTGTAACTGATTTGTATTATATACAAAACAATTTATATACTTGATTACAGGTTGTACGGACGGCCTTATCTTATTTCATGACGTTCTTATCATTCAATGAAGCTATTTCTTAATTACTAAGTTACTACGTTATATTAATTAGTATATTTTATAAAACTGTCTTATTAGATGCTAGTGATTTGTATTACTGTTCGTATTTACCGTGAAATTAACCAGCGTTAATCGACATTATTAAACACAAAAATCATCTTAAAGTCAACCGCACTTGCGTAAAACAGTCGAATTTCACACTACAAATTTCAAATGCAAAGAAAGCAAATAATCAATCAAATATTTTTATGAACATAATGTGCAGACACAGAGTTTCATCTAACTACTCGATTAATTTTGTTTCTGATCGACGGACAACATTTGATCTGGGTAAATTCCTTTGGTATCTCTTTCGTGGTGAGTATTAAATAATAATAGCACGTTTCCATGTAGCTTCATATGTCTTATTATAAGCAAAGCCGATAAGTTTCTTTATGTCTCTTTACGAACAGCGTTGAGAAAAGTTTAATGGAATTACTTCGTACAGAAACGTGCAAACGTGCTGGCATTCTGATTACATTTTCGTTTACAATTTTCTCCTATTTTTTCGAATTGCGGTGATGTACGGAAATACTCTTACAGTTTTACGCAGAATACGGGCGGACACGTGCATCTCCTAAAAACATGAGAAGCGGAAGGATTTGAATAACAAATTAGGCGGAACATTTTTAAGTATAAATAAATTGACAGTAATGTTATTTTGTGTCATTAATATAACTGTATTTTTTTGTGGCTTCCAAAAGCTTCCAAAAGCTTCCAAAGCTTTTATAATACAAGGTTAACGTTTACAGAAACTTGTAGAACTGTCGCTCGTCCGGCATTAGGAGAATGTTTGATGATGATGTTGCAAAACAATTTCAAAATCCAAGAGAGAAACATATTCATAAAAGTGAAACTCTTCGGCAGCAGCGAATCTTGTCCGCGCCGTATATTGGTCAATGGGGCATCGATATATTCGCAGCAAGTCGGCGCATGACATTCCTTGAGAACGTACCGAGCGAAATGACTCAACTGATTTGTCGTCTATTTTTCCCGACTGTCATTCTGCCATATTCCTTCCAGTTTGTGTCACGTAAGTGTCGCATATTCCGTGTATTTCATTTTATCGTTTAAAAAATTATCATAAACGGTCCTGTGGTGCTAAACGCGGTCTTGTAAATCGCACGCGAAATAATATGTGTAAAAGAAATGAAATGAAAAATACAAATAAAGTGTTAAGCGTAAGAACATTCTTATATTGCGCTTTTAATATGACATGAATCATAAACCGCGCTCTATGTTTTCCTCCTGCATGATTTTCTGTTTGCTAATATGTTTCGTAGAGTGTCCATACGTTGTTTTTATGTAGGACTTTTTACATTTTTTGAAATATGTGACGACAGTGCTTCCAGATTGTTTATGCGTTTGTCCCACAGATTGAAACATTGGATCGCGAATCTTCCTGAAGAAGAATGGGAGTGGCATTTCACCGCTCGTCTGCCACCACGCGCAGTATAAAAGCAACCTCCGTCGCTGCGCGCTTAGTTTCGTTTCGGACTGGTCGAGTGTGAAACTACACCTTCAACGTGAGTACCGTAATCACGTAGTAGAGAATCGCACGTTGTTTCCTTGCTCGAAAAAAAAAATAAACTTTGTCCCGTACGCATCTCTCATTGTTGTTCAATGACGAAATCGGTTCCTTTAATCGCGCTTCGTGTCGTTTTTTACGTCTCACTTGTCTATAAAAAAATATTACGCACTTGTTTATGAAGAAAGAAAAACGAGATGATAAATAGTGTAAAAATAGCGTATTTTGCATATTTTTCACATTTGTATAATTTTGAGAAATGACTGCTTTCAATTTCGCATGCATTATGATACAAATATGATAAATAGTGTAAAAATTGCGTATTTTGCATATTTTTCACATTTGTATAATTTTGAGAAATGTATAATTGTATAATTTTGAGAGACTGCTTTCAATTTCGCATGCATTATGATACAAATTTGCATAAAGATATGTTTAGAATTTTTATCGGGAATCATCTGTCGTTTTATCGAAGCGCGAATTTTACGTACACTCTTTATCGCGATCGTCGCGACTGGACTCTCCGTAAACGTCGCTCCAATTCTACCATGACCTCAACCATTAAGGAGAGATCGGGCCAACATTCTTGGAACATACGCCGTCACTTTCGATATGAATTTTCGCCAGCCATCGGCGTTTCGTTTTCTTACATTTTACACAATAATCTTCCATTGATCCGAGATACCTCGTGCAATTGCTGTGTAAAAATATAATTTCTATTCCTAGCGTAACGCAACGCTTCTGAATTATATTGCAAAAAATTATTTCAAATATTCTGTGAAATCTTCACCGTCTAATTAAACAAATTTTTTACCCTTAAATTCTACTCGGATTTACATTTTCTGTTGCAAGAAAATTTTCGATAATTTTCCCTCTCATTTGTTTCCAGATGAAATTTCACTCCGTAGCGCTGGCCACATTACTCCTGGCGGGAGTAATCGCGGCGTATCCACAGAAGGACGGACAGATCTTCAGCAATGAGGCGATACGACAAGCTCAGAACACTTACCTCATCCCCAAGGATGCGACTATACAGAAGGTCCAAGAAGGCATCGAGTTGGCCGCTTACGAGTCAATCCCCGGAGACCAGAGAATCAATCTCTTCGAGATCTTAGGCGAGCACGTACCACCCGAAGTGGTGAACAATCTTCAGACCCAGATCGATCAAATCGGTCGAAATTAAACTCTTTCTCCTCGTCCAATCGTCGTCATCGTCACCGTCGTGTAGAAATAATCATAATCTAAGTCCTGTCTCTGTACTTATATTTATGAACAAATGGTTCCTTTCTGTCTTTTGTATCTTGCAAAAATGTTCTCCAATGTAGAAACGATTTTTTCGCCTTTTTCTTCTTCACTGTAGAACGATTTTTCACTTGTCGTAAATAAATATATGAAAGGAAAAAAAACAGCTTAGTTTACACATTTTGTCCGCAAGGAAGAAAACAGCTTCTTCACGACGTTCGTATTGCATGCGTAAGATAAGTTATAAGCACCGAAATGTATCTTGTAGCAAAAAATACCTTCTGCTTATCTTGTTTTACAGTTTCAAGAATGTATGAGTTTCAAAATCTGTTTTGCATTACAATTGTGCAATGCACAAAACGATTCGTAGGTTGAAATTAATCATTCTTATGAAGTGCTTCAGTTTGAATTATGTATGCCGCTAGCGATATATCGTAGAGAAAGTTGCAAGACTACTTGTCCAAGAAGCGCACTTTCACTTCTTCTATTCACGTTATTGCCGAATGGCTCTTCTGTTTTCTGCCATTTATTACATGTCGAGAGTTTTAACATAATCGAGACACGACGGGATTATGAGACCGAGTTATCCGTGTTTTGCTTCGCTAATTTTATTGTCTCATTAATGTAATACATATCTATTTCTGAAAGAGAAGATCGCGATGCATACTTTTGTGGAACTTTCACTTTCTTTCATGTACACAGCCTTCCGCGGATAAACTTACCAGAAAAATCGTTATATAATAGTGTACAGGTCAATCATCTTTATATCTTGCTTGTAAAAAAGTCAATTGATACTTCCTGGCTCGATTTTCCTGCAACTTTTCATACATTGTATTCAGAGAGATCATTTATCTTGTCCGATAATCTATAATATTGTCGTATATATAATAGGAAGCAGATTTCTTTCATGTAAATGTGGGGTATTTTAATAAAATAGTCATTTTTATATATCAACATTACATTTTGGAATATAAAAACCACAAATGACATTTGTACATTTATGATAAATAACTTAAAAACGGTTTTATTTCAGACAAAGTTCAGATTCAAAGTACAGATCTGAAAACTATACAAATGAGTTTTGGGCAACTTCTAGGATACATTTCTCTCTTTATCTTTTAAATCAATAATTCCTTCGTTTTTCAGCATACGCATAATGCATGGACGTGAACTGCAGGTGAGTGTGATTTTTGCATCTTCGAGTTATCAAAGCGAGTAGAAACAATTGAGTAAGATATCGTTTTGTTACATGAGACACGAATTTTGTAATATTGATTATAAACCCAATTATAAAATCACTTCAAAATACACAAAAAAAATCAATTTTTAGTAAGCACCAAGAAAAGTTTTGTCAGGGTCCGTAGAACGTTATATGAATCTTATTTGTTACTAGTACATTGTCTTGCATTTTTACAATTATTTTCTTCGCCATCCATGACGATTTATTTCAAAATTCTTGCATCAATGCTGTTCTTTATTATGTAACATTTCTTAATCACATAGACACAAAGGTGAATACCTTTCAATTATTCGAAAACAATTTTTTAAATTGTTCCTTTACGAAAGAAAGAACTTCAATTAATTCGTCGTTTTTACGCTACACATGTTATCGAAAACTTATTTGTATTTAAAGCGCAACTTTTATATTACCGAATACGAAATGGAATGAGATATACTTAATCTTAGGAAAACTATATTAGTATCGAAGACGCAAGAACTACAAAATATCAAAACAAATGAAAAAAAAAAGTTGTATCTCCTCTTTTCCTATTTTTTTTCTGAGAGGAATACTAAAATTGAAATATATGCAACGTACATTCATTCCTACATATTCTAACTTCATATAAAATTTTATCATTATGTACATTTGAAAGCTCATTTAGAAATGTGGTTGCAGGATATTAATGTATATCAGTACCGTAAGTGAAACTTATTGCATATTGAAATAAAAACTAGATGTATACAAAGGTCAAATACTCAAACAAGACATTTGAAACAATGATAAACAATCATGTAACACCGTGTGATTTTTTCTGCTTTGCTCGTTTTATGCAAGAGAATGTACTATTCTTATAAACTAGCTAATTACTATGCCTTAAATAAGAAAGCTTTCCTTAGAATCATGGTATTTGTGGTGATTTCTCGTGTGCTTCTTTCTTAGCGTAGAATTTTCGTATTTACTTCCTGCGAATGTATAGTAATTAAATATATAACTGAGCATTCTCGAAACAATGAGTTAAAAGTAGACCACTACTTACCTGGATCTCTTAGACCTATCGTGCCTCTCCGAACTTTCCTCGCGAGAACGTTTTTTACTGAATGAAGAATGCGACGACTTACTTTTGTCGCGCTTATCATGTTTATCACTCTTTCTGGGGCTAAACAAAAAAAAACAAATTGCAACTTTAGTAACATTAAAAACGTAAAATTCAGCGGTAATCACCTGTGTCTGGACGATTTGGAAGGAGACCCTTTCTTGTGCGAGCCCCCACTCCGTGATCGATCCGTTCTTTAATTATCGAGCATAAAACTCAGTACAATTTCTCAACAAGAAAACTTACTTTACGTGAAAATATTTCTCAAATTACAATACACGATATTCACCTGTGTTTGTCCGGTGACCGTTTGTCCTTACTGCTGGACGAACTTTTGCTTCTTGAATTCGAAGAGCTTTTGTGCTTAGAGTTGCGTCTACGCAGAACAAAAAATATGAATCACAATCAATGTTAAAAAAAAAAAATCAAAATATGTCTGCATATATCGATACCTGTCTTTTGAAGGAGCTGGGGATTGCTTTGATTTCTTCTTACCAGCACCACTGTAATCGTCGCGGTAACGCTCGTCCACTCTTTCTTTGTCCTCTTCAGCCGCTTCTCGTTCTAAATCTGACCAATCTTTTCCAGATTCCTCAGAACTGCCCAATTCTATTTTTGCAAAAAATAAAATAGTAAAAAGTAAATTAGAAAACAGAACAGAATAATGTAATGATGCAATTTCTGATAAGCAATACCTTCGCTATCATTATCTTCAGAAGCTTCGGAATATTCTGTGTCATCATCAGATTCTTCCTCACTTTCCATATCAGACGGCTGCACACACACACACACACAAATTTGATTAAAATATAAATGAGATTTATTTATCATCCCTGCATTATTAGAAAATTTGTTTTGTCCGATGCTAACCTCATATGCATCATCCTCTTCCTCGTCTTCGTCTTCGGCTTCTTCATTTTCAGCATCACTTTCAGGATCCAAGAATGTCCAGCCGCCGCTATCGAAGAATCCTTCGGGATCATCGGTTATAGTCTTCATAATCTTTGTCCAATTCAAAGACTGGACACCTTCCGAATACCGAATATCACATGAACTAAAAAAAAAAAAAAACAAATAATTATGCAAATTTATTTTCTCTTGTAAAAGATCATTAATTTTATATAGAGTAAAAAAAGTCACTTACTTTAACCATTCCTTGACATGATCCAGCATGTTCATAGAAATGGCATTCACCATTGCTACTTTTCTGTGATAATCTTTGAAGACAAAAATCATGTCAAAGTTCTTTAAATGAAACTGTACTCTCTCGAAGTGAACCAATTCAACATCTTCCAGTGTGATGACAAATGGAGGCTGAAATCCAATCGCAATGTATTATGTAGTATTCATTTTTCTTTAGAATATCAATTTTGTTTCGTGAAAAAAGCGTTACCCATTCTGTGAGATTAACCAGACATCCACTAGTCGGCTGTAGCAAAACAGTGCTCCTGTACGGTGCACCAGGGAATCCCAAGTCCCGGAATGGCGTATCAAATTCAATCTCTTGTTTCGTCATCACTTCAACCTTTATACAACGCAAATACATATTTATAGAAGGAGAATAAATGCAAAATCACTAATCGGCAAATTAATGAAATTAATTTCGTTGCCCACCTTCTCACAAAAGCTCTTGAAAGCAGTTTTCAATTTATGTCTCAGCTCTCGTTCCGATTGTTCAGCAGCGAGATCGTCACGATCGTGCATGTGTTGGTGCTTGCCTAAATCTGTAGTGATTTCTCCAACTTCTGTATAAAATTGTACATCGACGTGTTTCTTTTTACCAAACATGATAGCATGCTGAAAAATAAATTTTAAAAATAATTAAAAAATTAATATCACGTTTATAAGCAGAAAGTTATTTATTTAAGATGCGTACTTTCAAGTGGAAATGAAGCAGAATAATCATTTCACCATCGCATGGCTGGAAGAAGGCGTTTTTAATGTTATTATAAAGAATGTCGACTTTATCGCCGCGGACCGATGTGTACCGGAATCCATTTGTGTGCGCTTCCAATCCACCCGTCATCCTTTTCGTAACAATATTTGGTCGAATGTATAAATCCTTCAATTTTGGATTGCCCTTGTTTTGCGACAATATTAAGGTGTCCTGTTTTACAAGATCTTCCTTCTCCCTTTCCTCCGCTTCTCGATTTTTGAACTTCTTCTGAACTTCTTTAATCAATCTGAAGGCTGTATTCAAATTTGACGAAGGCGCGGAGATTTCGCCGGGCTCTTTGGTGTTTGTGCTTCGATATGTTACTTCTTTAACGAAGGTCGCATCGGGCTGTGGATAAGAGCCACCTTCATTTCGTCCCATTGTTGCGCCGGGGTGGAAAAAGTTTATTCTAAGATAAGTATAATCCCCTTCTACCGACTGCGAAATGTTCTTGATTGTTGATATGTGGAAGGGCACCGGGATACCAGAAACAGGTAGAATCACAGTCTCATACTTCTTATCCACATACAACTTCAACTCTTTCACCTCTGGTTCGCGTGGCATGTGACTCAGATTTTTGTAAGATATTGTCGACTTGCGTATTTTCTCCTCCTCCTTACCGCCAGACTGCTGGGCCAATCGCGCCTTGGCTATCTCGTTTAACTGTTGAGCCAATTCCTTTTGATGCTGCTTCCTTTTCTCCTCCGAGCTATGTTCTGTTCTCAATTTAGACTCTATCACAGCTGTCCTTTTCCCACGTCCCAGGATCTCCGGTTTCGTTCCGTTTTCCTTTCCGCTTTCTTCTTCTTCATCATCATCTTCATCGTCTTTTACATATATTCCGATATTTTTCACTTTTTTCTTCGAGGGGGTTAAATTAGTAGCAGGTTGGCCATCATTTACTATAACTGTATCGCCTATGAAAAGGGCGTATGTTTTTCCTTCCTTGTCCGTTGCATCTGTATTGAGAAGGTTTGCGAGACCAACGTTAACATTAAACACCATGCCCTTCTTAGCTATTGCATTAGTTTTAGGGCCCAATAGTAAAGAGCTTTCTTTGAATTCAATGCCCATAGCAAATCCAAAATTTTTCGTTAAGTGATTCAACATTTCTGGTTTTTCGTCTTTTACAAATTTGATACCAGTCTCGTATACTTCACTTATTTTTGTTCCCGCAACAAGTTTCTTCAAGATCTCCTCTTCAAGTTGTAACAAAAAGTTATAATTTTCCTGTAAAACGATGTATTGGAAATTATAACACAGATAATTTCTGTAATCATTTTAGAAATATAAGAATTACATTACCATATAAAATGTTTGTTTGCCACATACCTCAATGATCTTTGTAGGATTAACTAACAAAGTTCTCACTATGTTCGAACAATAGGATTTGTAACGTGCCCCCAATGAACAAATAATGACACCAAAATGAAGGGTAGTATTTTTGTCACTGACAGCGCTAAACTTAAGCGAATAATTTCCACCACTTTGTATGATTGCGGGATAACACATATCTACCTGCGTGACGTCCACTCCAGTTACATACTTTTTATTTGTGATAGCTGTATCTACGCCTTCCGCCAATTTTGAGTGTTTAACTTTCTGCAATCGACATGAACAATCATAATTATTTCTCCACTATTCATTCTTTCATAAATACGGCTATAATTTTATATAATTATAAAAAGTTCACCTTATCCGAATCTATAATCTCCATTATCTGATCTTTAAGATATTTTGTAAAAACGTCCACAGATATTAAACAAGCTTTCTTTATAGTAAGTATCTCGCTATCCTCCTTTGGAGACATGACGTATGCAGCTGCAGCACTCACATCGATCTAGTTGATTAAAAATTGTTTTATATTTTCTAAACACATGTATACACATTTATATATCTTTTATAAATATTCAAATATCTGTGTGCTTACTGTATCAAAGGATTCACTTTTTAAAGCAGCTCTCCACGCATCCATAAAGGCACCTGGATAATTTTCTTTCGAAAATACTCCCAAAGTTTTACCTTTTTTGCTTTGCTTCATCACTTCAATGAGTTTTGCAAAATTCGCTTTATCTTCATCGCTCTTTAAAAATATATTCCAGTATTGTTTGATGCCGACATATTTGATAATGAAATTTTTTATATAAATCATTTAATATACGTACTCTATCTCTCACAAATAACGTTACAGCTGGTACATCAGTATCCTCAGTTTTCTGATTTTCCACCTTTCTCAAAAATTCAATCTTCTTTTTGCTGGCCAAAAAGTTAATCGATTCCTCTGTCAAAATCATTATTGTATCTGTAAGTTCATAGCTGAGCAGCCATGTCTGAAACAAAACATCGATACATTATATAAAACCATCTTCTAAACTTATCTAAATCAACATAGTTGTAACGAAAGTGTATCTAGTTAACTTATCGTAAATAATCTAATGATTTGTACACTTTCGACAAACACGGAACAGATAGAGGATTCAATTCTTAAAAATATGGACTGTAAAATCTTATTACATAATATTATGAAATAAGCAAACAATCTATAAAAAGCTATGACATACAAGACGATAAATGTTTGCTTTTAGAGAAATCAGAATTACTAGTGCTAGATGTCTTTCGATAAGATACTTGTTATAACGAATCCAGTTTAAATCCGGATAAAATTGATGCGTCTGAAACACACATACTTGCAACGCTGTGGATTTGCTGTAAACGATATCCTCATCAGTGCCAACAGCAGAAACGAGGCAGTCCATTTTACTGAAACTGTCATCGTTGTCGATCTCTCCATCCTGTTGAAAACAAAAGATTACAAGAAAAGTACAAGGCTTGGCTAAAACTAAGAAACATCACGACGTGTATTTCTCAGTGCACTCACCTTCCACGCGGCATACAGACGCTTCATGCGCCGGAAGAACATATCTTTATCGAGAGACACGTTTGCCATGGTTAGCGTTTGAGTTTACCCACGCACGCGGCTACAAGATCCGTCCGATGTGGTCCGATGTGAAATTATTATTAACTCGCGATGTAAGGAACAAAACATTCAGAAGACGCGTAGATAGCTTCAGCGTTATCACATTTTCCTTCGTGCCGCTTGAAGTGCACACGATACGAGTAATAACAGATTAATATCCAAAACTGACTATCCACAACAACTGGTAGCGATGAGAAGCGCGGAGATGGCGGGATTTTTACACCATCACATGTAACCAAACCCGCAACAGCACGCGATGCCACGAGTTGTGCCTTCTGCATAGAGACGCAATAATGCGTTTTCCCATTTCTTCTGTAAAAGCAGGAAATTGATTGGCCGCAGCGTGGCTAGGGAATAAAGTGTAACTAGCGCAGCAGTCAATCAAATTCGCTTTTATGAAAACAATGCAAACGCAGCAAGAGGTAAATATAAACGTCTCTTTATTCGAGAACTCAACGATATATAAAATAAATCAAGCATTTTTATGTTTTTAGCTAACAACATATGTAGTTTTGCAATATTTCTTAATCCTTCTTCTATGCAAATTTACTAGTTTTTTTTTTTTTTTTTCGATATTATTTCTGAGTTTTATATTTGCAAATATCAATTGCCTTTGCAAACAGATGTTGGGATACGTTCGGTTGCTGAAACATTTGCCTTATAAAGTTGTAAGTCTGGTAATTTTTATCAAAGCCATCGTTCACAGCGCGCTCTGGAACGAGACCGATTTTCATATCCTTGAACTAGCATTTTTATTATGTATAGCTCGATCTCCCTCCTTCGTGCACACATATGCACATTATGCCTGTATTTAGGTATAGGCATTGCCGCACACACACACGCACAAGCAACCTGTATATACAACCGCGTTTTCTAGGCGTCAAACTTCTCTCGCGTAATCGGGAGTTCGAGCCGATTAAGGTCTTCGTTCCACGATAAAATTCGCGAAACACTGTTGTCCCATGTGCACTATTTAGCTTTCATTTCGCACGCGCGTACATACGTGCACATATATATGCATATGCTGCAGTTGAATAGATTCGCGTATACGCGAGTATATTTTTGTATAAGCTCCGCCGCGGAATCGCGGAATGCTTTTATCCGCGATTGATTGAACGTCGCTACTTGCGTCCAGGTCGATTATTAATTCGAGATTGCCTTATATGTCGGTAAGAGTGAAAGAAGTGGAGCTGAAAAAAAAGGTGGTGGATTAGAAATTGTTAACAGGATACCGCCGAGAGTGCGATCGGAGAAATGCGCGATAGCTGCTGCCTTGCCGCACCAAAATGATACATATCCGCTTCGGGTGGCCCGCACTTCGATCTTCATAATTATGAGAAGGCGCTTGAGGGTATCTCGTCCGAGAGTTCAGCGCTGTTCCGAAGAGAAAACGATTCCTGGAGTCGTACGTATGTTTGGGATAGTTCGCCGAGCCCTGCGTACAAGATATTACAGGAACCGAGAGTAAAACGTGTGGCTCGTATCATGAATGTGAGTATATTTGCTATTTAATTCAACGTACCTGAAATTAAATTATTCGCAGATGTATCTTACCACACTTTTGTATGTCTGGCAATGAATGATTTTGCATGTCAATGGCATAATATTATTTTTCTGGTATCATTGTTTACTGCGGTTTAAATAAACTCACTATTTGTGTGTTTATTTATAATTATTTCAAAATGTCTTTTAATATTATGCTAGTCCTGAGAAAGACACAGAATCACAGGTGTACGATGGCTACTTATAGTCATAGTTTGGTTCTCTCTTTCATGTATGAACTATTTTCAGAATATTCCCATTATATATTATTCTGGCACACAGTAGATGGCAATTTGATTATATAACCTCTGTCGGATTATTGACCTAAACCCTTGTTCTGGTAAATTTGTTTTAATGACATCTTCGGAATGTAATTATACTTTTATATCTATTTTTGGTTGAAGAGTGTTGAGTAACATAAAACCATTTTGTCTTGCAGTAGAACTCCTCTTCTTAACTGTATTTTCTTGTATGTAAACTAGAAAATATGTAATTTAAATTTAGAAGAAGATAAAAAAATGCATGTAAAAAATATGGGAGATAATTATAGAAAAGACCTTTTATGTGTGGAATAGCAGTGTGGATGTTATCATAAATTGTTTTATCGTGTGTTTTATAAAAAGTATGCGTTTTTAAATAATTTAAATGTAAAAGAGAAATACCCCTTTTCTAAATTTTTTTATTACTAACAATCAACAAAATTTATAACTTTGAGCAGTCACATTCTTACACATTTGTAATGTCTATAAAACTAGTGTGTGTTTTATTGTAAACTTGTGTTTTATTGATTTTAAATTAATCATTTAATAACTTTTGATTATTGATATGTAAATTAAATTTTTATAGTATTGTTGGATGAAATAATTTTTTTTTATATATATTTAAATAAATTAAATTACATTTTAGACAAATCTCTTTGTTTTGTTTTACTGAAAAATTCACAAGTCTTATACATTACAGATTATAATATATCAATGTTAATTTATTAATTTATTTAATTTTCAGGTGGTCAGCATAGCAGAGAGGTGGTGTCGAGAAGGTGGTTGACACGCCTTCATATATTTGAAATGATTGAAAGTGTATCTCGGAGAGCGTTGAGTGGCTCCAGTGGGAGCTACCACGTTCGTGGTGCTGAATTAGCGAGGAATCGCAGATTAAAATCGCTATCAGCAACCGTTACTTTTCTAGATGATACACAGCATACATTTCAATTAGATGTGAGTGCCTATGATATTTCTTTATCTAATATTATATGTCTATGTAATAATTTGATCTAATAATTATATCTATGTAATGAATGTGTATATTGTAGAAACGAGCAAAAGGGCAAGTTCTATTGGACTTGGTATTTCAACATTTAGAACTTATCGAAAAGGATTACTTTGGTTTACAATATGCTGAAAATGGAGTTGGTGTAACTATCCCTACATCCGATCTAATGGTAATATCTCTTAAAAAGTTATAATAGAGTTAACTATTTTGTGTAATTCCTACTTTTTAAAAATATTATTTAACGCACATGAATTTTATTAATCAGTAAATCAGTCATTCAACACAGAGAGAGTTCAAATAGTATTAAATTAAAAGAAATAGTCTATTAACTTTTAATGTAATAAACATTTTCAGAGATGGCTGGATGCCTCCAAGCCTGTGAAAAAGCAATTAAGAAGTAAGGGTAAAGGTCATATTTTCTTAATACAATATTTAATTATATGAAAACGAAATATATTTTCTACACAGTAGTCTGTTCTCGCATTATGCAAACGCTTGCAAACGTTTAATATGCATTTGTTTGTTTCAGGCGGACATTTCTTTTTTAGAGTGAAATTTTATGTATCTGATCCTAGTAAACTGCAGGAAGAATACACTAGATATCAATTTTATTTACAAATACGAAGAGATATTCTTCAAGGAAAACTTCAATTACCATCCAGCACAGCTTGTTTAATAGCAAGTTACACTGTTCAATGTAAGTGTATGTCATATGCATATGTAATTATTTTAGACTACAATGTTAAATAGCAGAAATTAATACATTAAATCTTTATTTGATGCTTGTATAGCGGAATTAGGAGATTATCATCCAGAGGAACATGGGCCCGGCTATCTTTCACAATTGCAACTGATACCTGGACAAACAGAAGAAATGGAAAAGAAAATATCGGAGCTGCATAAACTACACAAGTTTGTACATTTTCTAATTCATACTCAATTTATAAATCTGATTTGTAATGTCGATAACAATGCATTTTTCTTTATCCTTAGAGGACAATTGCCAGCTGATGCAGAATTTAACTTCTTAGATCACGCAAAACGCTTAGACATGTATGGAGTGGAGTTACATAAAGCAAGAGTATGTGGCGTATGTCAAATTAAGAAATATTTCTGTAAAATAGACGCGACGTGTATACGGATATGCTTTTCTTTTTAGGATTCATCAAACAAAGAAATACAGTTGGGTGTTACATCAGTCGGTCTGGTTGTGTTTCAAAATGGCATAAAAATCAATGTATTTTCATGGTCAAAAATAGTTAAAATTTCTTTTAAGAGAAAGCAATTTTTTATACAACTTCGACGAGAACAGGTGAATTTGGTCATTCGCTAATATGTGACGTATTTCTATCAATTTTAGATGCAAACTAACAAATTTGTATTGCAGTCTGAAAACTATGACACACTACTGGGCTTCAACATGCAAACTTATCGTAGCTCTAAAAATTTATGGAAAGCCTGTGTCGAGCATCACACCTTCTTTAGACTTCATAGTCCAAAATTGCGACCGAAACGATTCCCTCTCACGTTAAGTAGCAGGTTTACGTATTCAGGGCGGACGGAATTCCAAACGGTAGAAGATGGGAAGCACAGAGCACGCGTGGAGAGGACATTTATACGGTAATTGTAACAATCCACATCAGCGAAGTGGAATTTAGCAGTTTGCAGAAATTTTCTTCACACACGAAATTTTTTAATATTTAGATCACCTAGCAAAAAGCTAAGTCATACTATTGCAACGGCACCCGTTACCGACGACAAAGGGAAATTGACCGTGCCTCCTGGAAGACCTCCACGACCGTATGACAATAAGGTTCAGTCCCTCGGTGCTCGTGAACCTCGTCAAGCGTGGGGTGAAGGAAATCCAAGCGACGAGTTAGTTACAAATAAGAGTCGTATATCAGGTATTCCAAAACTATCGTCACTTATCTGTACACGAATGAATAGGCGGACGATCAATTAAACGATGAAACTTCTGTCGGGCAGAAATCAGTCAAATTGGTTGGAAGAAATCTGTATATGAAAGAAGTGACGATTGTTCTGGAACATATAATTTGGATAACATGTCACTCATAAAAACAAATCACATCACAGTGAGAATAATGCTTATATAATTGACGCGCACTTTCATTTAGCATCTTTAGTTTCATTTACCTTCTCTTATAGTGAGGGTGGTTTTTTATCTTTGAGGGAAGAAATAACGGGAAGCTACACGCAAGGTGGAGCGTTCTCTCCAGCATTGGGATCTCGAGTGTTCAGTTACGCGGACGATGACACGACTGCTGAAAGAAATATCTACGATCTGCCGGATTACAGCGAGCCAACCAGCTCACCAGCTCCTCAAGTATGCACGTTAGCTTGAAGTAAAGAACGATGGCTAGAAGCGAGAATATTCTACAAACATGTTTTTCATCGTTTTAGATACTAGAGGATGGTTTAGTAACCATATCCCTAACACCAGACGAGCAGGGTCGCTTCGGCTTTAACGTGAAGGGTGGATTAGACTTGGACATGCCGATCCTGGTATCGCGAGTAGCTCCGAATACGCCCGCCGATCGCTGTTATCCAAAATTAAACGAGGGCGATCAAGTACTTATCCGTTTAATCTCGTTTCTCGAATCACATTAGGTTATGTGATTCGAATATGCGAATATTAGCGATGTGTCACATAAAATACGGTGTTTTTTTTTTTTCTTTCTACGCAGGTCGTTTACATCAATGGAATCGACGTGAGTGGCTTATTGCACGAACGCGTGGTGAATTTAATAAGGCAGTCACGCGATCGCGGATCCGGCGAGCTCACGTTAACCGTCAGACCTAACGCTCTGTACAACGCACTGGCTGGTACCGACGAGACGTCCGAAGAAGAACCGCCTTACAGGTACGTCATTTCGAACGACGGATAGACGTTGTCTTGCCTGTTAAATCTAATTTGCTATAATGATTTGCAAGGTATGTGCCTGACGCACCTCACGCGGCCATTGGATCTGATGCGCTAGCGCAATCTATGCTGCTGCTTGCGGACGGTCTAGCGAGTGGTGCTCTCATTGCTCAATACGAACAATTGTACAGGAAGAATCCAGAGCTCGCGTCCCTCGAATCGAAGAAGCCAGAAAATCAACCAAAAAATCGCTATCGGGATATATCGCCGTGTAAAGATTTTAAATTTCTTGATAAAACTTTCCGCATAGAAATTAGTTAATCGATTATTCTAAATCGGTCAAGAAATTGTAGAAAGCACATCGAGGTGATCTACGCACAATTCTATTTTTTGTAGATGACGTCACTCGAGTAATCTTGATGGGATCCGCGAACGGGGATTACATCAATGCGAATTATGTAAACATGGAGATACCGGGTTCAGGCATCATCAATAGGTACATTGCCACGCAAGGTCCGTTGTCTTCCACCGTTGCCGATTTCTGGCAAATGGTTTTAGAAGCCGGTAGTACACTTGTCGTTATGCTAACAACCCTCGTTGAACGCGGTCGTGCGAAATGTCATCAGTATTGGCCGGCGTATAACGAGACTCTCACATTAAGAAATCTCACGCTTACATCGACCGCGGAAAACGTCGAGGATACATTCATTTTTCGAGAATTCATACTTCGTGACGTTAATGTAAGCTCATTGCAATTTCGTATATTTCTTAACATGTGTGTATCTAGCAGTGTGATAAAACTTAATACGTTTGTTTGCAGACCGGGGAGGAAAGAGATATAACGCATATGCAGTATTGCAGCTGGCCCGATCACGGGGTGCCCAGCGACTGGCGACAATTTACTACGTTTACAGAGCGCGTTAGGGCGGCTCGTACTGGAATAGTCGAACCCGCGGTTGTGCATTGTTCTGCTGGAATAGGACGAACTGGTGTGCTAGTTTTAATGGAAACTGCATTGTGTTTAATCGAAGCTAATCAACCAGTATATCCATTAGATATTGTACGCTCTATGAGAGATCAGAGAGCAATGATGATACAGAATGCTGTGAGTCGGCGTTTTTTTTTTTTCTTTCTTATCACTATTGTATTTATTTTAATGATGAACCATTTCGTTCACCCGGATGCAATATTGTTTCAGAGTCAATATAGATTTGTGTGTGAAGCAGTCCATAAAGCTTACAGCGAAGGCATAGCCAAGCCACTTCCGGAGTTCAGTAGGTGAAAGTAAAAAATTCAAGATGGGGCAGCATTGTAATTACACCATTTCTTCTCTCACTTCTCTCGCATTAAGCATCATGCCGCTAGAAAGTAGTTTTATACTTTGACAATAACATCTAATATATATTTAATATAGCATATCTTAGTAAAACAGATATTTACTGCGTAAAGTATGTATCTCATTTATATGTATGACGTCCAGTTTTCATCCGCTACTTTATCAAAAAATTTCTATTTCTTCAATGTTATCGTCCACAGAAGATCTATTTAATATTCTTGTGATAGATTCTATATATTCACGCAAAATATTGTTTCGTGCAAAATGTGATTGTATTTTTTTTCTTCGTAAATTTTATTTTTTATAATATTTAAATTATATTTTTATGGCATAATTAATATTTCGCTAGAAAGTATCAAAAAGGCAGTGTACTATGATATATTGAATTTTTAATGAATGTAATTAGATTTGTTTGCATAACTGTAAGGTACAATAATATTTACACAGTTTCGATTGTCTTACAGAACAAATTGAATTTTAAAATAATTTAACAATTAAATTTGATGTAAAAATTACTATCAATTGACGTAACAAAAATCATACTATACAATACGAATATTGTCAAATATTTTTTTACATCGATATATATTTTTAGATAATTTAAATTTTACTTCAGTGCAAAATTTAGTGCAAAATTTCATACGCAAATGCGTATCTTTTATTGAAATTGTTCAATTTTTAACATTAGATATGTTAAAAAGAATCATCTAAAATCAACAAAAGAAATAATATTAAATTAATATATTACATTACAAATTCGAAGTACAATTATGAAAATAATACCTCATTATGTATTAGTATCAGCATTTTATAATCTAACTATTTTTGTAATAATGCAAACTGGTACTATAATAAATATTATTAGAAGGATAATGGAGTTTGTAATCTTTCATGTGTAGTCAAAAGGATAGAAATTACCTTGAACCAATTTTAAATTGCGCACATACGTGAACGTTTTCCTTGTATTTTATTTATTTGCGAAACTTTTCATCAGTCAAAATCAATTTATATTCTTTTTACAACGCATGAAAGAATAAGAGAAAAAATTGTGAAAAGACGTCTATATTTATATATATATGTGCAGTCAATATATAAGTTTGATTCGGCGAAAATAAATCAAAAATCATTAAAAATCTTGTTATAATACATGAGGGAAAACATTACTAATACTAATAAAGTATGTACATATTAGAAAACAAAATTATTGTGCAAATGAATTACCTTTTCCCCATTTATTCTGCAATTTATCTTGCAATGTCTTCACGCAATCTATACTTTATATATTGTAAATTAACATTTTTTAATGTATGTACATATATATACAAACATAAACGACGTAAACAGATTAGATTCATCTTCATAAATATATTAAAATGAAAACTAATTTTATAAAATAAGCGCAAAATGCGTAAACATAAAAAATGTCAATATAAAGAGTAGATAAGCAAATAACAACGATTATGTGTAACACGCCGAACTTCGTACTTATATATGTAATAAAATTACGCGTGGCAGGTTTAATTTTTTATTTAAATACATATTTTTCGCAAGTGTAGACGTGATGGACACGAACAAAATTAAGTGCTATAAAATTTTGCATCCAAGCATTAATGGCATGTAAATCAGGTAACAACCTTAAGTTACAGCTAGTCTTACAAATCTTGATATTAATACAATTTGTAGATGTCTAGTCTCATTTATACTTTTGGAATATAAAATAAAACTGTTGTAAAACAAGCTCTCCTTAATTGCTTCCCTGAATCAATCATTTGATTTACAATTGCGCGCTTACTATTCAACGATTTCTTCAATTTGTTAAAGAAGCTGAAGCTGCAAATTACAAGAAGATTTACAAATCAGGAAGAATGGTCCCTCTTGACCAGGCGTATACGTTGAAGGAACAATATGGTACGTTCCTGCCGGTACGTCTTCCAGTTCTAAATATACGAACCCAGATCTGCGAACAGAAATAAAGGTAAATCGTAAACTTTTTATAAAATACATATGAAATAACTTTTATGAACGAAACAATCCAAGTACAACGAAGATACGGACCTAAATGGTCCAGAACTTTTCGTTTTAAACGCAGTCGGCGCATTTGTGTCATTCAGCACAACAGTATTGATGTCGAAACCTATTTGATACTGCTTAGGTCCTTTCAAAATAATTAACAAATAATTATTGTTGTTAGAGCTTTCAAGCACTATTTGATATCGTGGATTGTCCATGTATGTGGGATGATTACCGCATCCTCCTGCTGTGACACCCTTCCACTGACCTGTAACCTGTGAAAAATCATGTTGATATGTAAATTTATTGAAAAACGTGATTCAATAAATCATTTCGAAGAAAAAAAAAACGAATATAAATGATGAAGTACCTCTTTTTCGTATTTGTAAAGTTGAGGTATTTTCCGCAATATGAATGGACACGTTGCATACGCGCGAAGCGTGTAGTAAATAGTGTTCGTTTTTTCATACTGAGATATGACTAAAGTATATTTCGTGTCACTTTGCTCGCTTAGTTTGATCTTGCACAAATAATGCGGGCTGTTTATTCTGACGCCGTCGATGTACGGTGGCGGATCATCTAAACAGTTTGTTTATTAAGGTTCATTGCCGATAGCTGAAGAGAAATAATATAAGAATGAATAGAAACAAATTGATCTTATGCTTACGTGGATAATACACTCTTTTCCCGTCGTTGCGATAAACTAAAACTGTAATATATTCTTGATTTTGCCGGAAGTCTGCTATATCCGTAATATGTCGCGTAAGAAGTATCCAAATAGCGCCACTTCCTTTGGTTTGCGCATCCAACGAGAATTGTGGATTGTCACCGATATTGTACGCGTCCTTTGCAGGCCCAATGCCAGCTTTCCACATTCTGCAACGAAATCGAATTAATGAACATTGTTATATACGAAAAGAAAGATATACATAACACATCGATAAAAAAAAAGCTACACACTGGTGTATGCAATAGGTATAATTAAACAGTCCTGGGTTCCAGTTTAAATAAAATACATCAAAGAACCGACATATACTGTCGTAATCGATCCAAAAGACACCGTTGTCAAACTCGGAAGCAGATTCTGGGTCGTAATGCAATGCTTCCTTCAAATCCTGAGTCCAGTGCCTTATGTCGAGTTCAGAATAATTGCCTCTCCATCGTAAATGAGACCACGGGTTTTTCAGTTGTAACAACCTTTCTCCCTGCATTAATAAAAATCGTATGCTTCATTTTTTCAAATCAATTGCAAACGTATAAATGTATAAACACGCAAAGCCTCGAACGACTCCAACGGAGCCGACAAGTTCGAAAGGTATTCCAGGCCTTAAATAGACAAATTCTTTCCTTCTACTTACATTAATCTTTTTCACATCGAGAACAGCATATGCGTGACTTGGCACAAGGCCCGTGCGTTCTGCATCCAAGTCCGATAGCTCTCCCGTGGCTACAGTGACTAGAACATCTCCTTTATGAAGTCGCAATAGTAATGTATCGAACAGATTGTCCTTATTAAAATCCGGCTCATTCGGTCTTATCGCCCATCTTTCGGGTATCCAGCCAGTTAAGGCATGTAAATCTATATTCTATAAAAACAAATGTGATGCATTAATATCAGTTATTAACAAGCGTATATACAATTGCATAACTCAATTGGGAGCTTACACTATTCGATCCGGGAAAATCGTAACCACCCATTACTTTCATATAAGCCTTCTCGAGTAAAGAAATCCATAGCTCCCCACGATTGCTAGAGTAGGAACAGAGTAATTGGTTGTATCGGCTTACAGGCAGAAGGTCATCTATTATTACTTTACGTGGAATGCCATTGATGTGTAGTTTCACCATGTATTTTCCTGATATTATATGTTCATCATTTCTAATATATAATAAATATAGAAGTATATACACATTTTCGGCTTATGCAAATTCTTATGTGAAACATGATAGTGCTTATTAAATGCATCTCTCTCTCTCTCTCTCTCTCTATTGTATAATTTTAATGTAAAAATATTATTAAGTGTGAACATTTAAAATTGTATCTGCATAAAAAGCAAGCCACGAACAAAAATGTAAAGTGCTTGTACAAAATGTACCTCCTCTGTGTAGTTTAATGCAAGCATTCTTAGTGTAATGCACAGAATATGTTGTTGTGCAGTTAATAATCATGATTGTATGTAATAAGCCAATTATAAAGCGAATAAATTGTATAATTACCAAATGGATTATAAATAGGTTCCTTCTGTTTGTTTTTGGGATAAATAATGGACGTTATTAATCTGCGCCCAAACTTTTTCTCATATTGAGCACTCACAGCAAGCGAAGCGACAAATGAACAGTCAGAAACCACCTAAAACGAATGAGACGGTACGATACTTACACATAATATAATTTTGATGTTGGTTTTAAATTAAGAATAAGTTTGAAACTGAATTACAAAGATATATATGTATGCGTAATAAATATTACTAACAGTTTGTTTTATGCTGTAGTAGTCAACATTATGCCCGATGACCATTTTGGGATCTGAATATATTTCTTCCGGTCGGCGCCATCCGGTAAAGTCAGGCTTCTGTTTCGGCGCTAGTTCCAAAAATCCATCCTTGTCGGTAAATGGAATAGCATATTGGAACTTTTCAGCGAGATCAATGCTCATAAACGGTACAAATTCATTGTCATTTATGTGCGAGCTGTAAAGCAACACTCTTTTCTCTTCTTCGGTATAATTGGTGCTACCTCCAGTTACTTTGAGATGGCCACTGCTTCCCCGATGAAGCGAGGATCTGGTATTTCTGGCTGAAGTTTATTAAAAATATGTTGTACAGTTTTGTCTTACTTTTCCCCATTTCACTTTTTTCAATATATTTACCACTTGGAGCAGCAGTTGGTGTCGATGGTGCGTTTACTGGTTGTTCTGATTCTATTGGCGTATCATCGATGTCTGGAAAATTGGTCTCTGGCACAGATGGTAGTTTAGCGAGACTTTTCATAACACTGTCATTCTCGACAACTTTAATTCCTTTCAAAGCCTCTGCCCGCTCTATGGCAACTCTAACAAGATTCGTTAATTTTGTTTTAACTTCTGTGTCAACAGTTTTCTGTAATATATAACACATAAACTAAATAAAAAATCAATTTAACAAATGCATAATAAGACTAACAAGAAGCATTATACTTACTGCGCTAAGACCAAGTTCAGCCGCTTCAGTATATAGCTTTACAGCAATGTCTTTACAACCTGCTTCATCTGCATCCAGTGCTTGGTTCAAAAGAAACTTGCATCTCTGTAACTCAGACTGATGAGTAGATTCAAACTTGTGATTACTCTGCTCTTCTTCATTAACTAAAATTGTCAGTTTTTTATTAAGTATCTCATTTGTAAATTCACATTTATAAAAGATATTATGGTAATTATAAATTCTGTGTAATTGTGTGAACTCACTGTAATGCTGTATCCATGAAATCCTCTCACGATAGTCTGAAAGTTTGTCTTCATACGTGTCTTCTAATTCCAGCTTGGTAAGCAGTTTTATAGCGATATCATAATAATACAATGCTTGCAAGTATTGGCTGTTTTTATCAAATTTAACAGCTCTATCAGCAGCAAGCAGTGCGTCATCCAACGTTTGCGCCATTTTAATGATGTGCAGCAACGAGATAAGAAATATATAGAATTCGGATTCAGCTGATGATGAAACTGTCAAACGCAAAATTTCGCGGCACTTCACTCACGCATCCAGAACCATAAACTTAACGTCGTATAACAAGATAAGTTATAAAGTATGTATATATTTATATGAACAAATATGAATTACCTGCCTCCTCATATGTCGTAAAATTAACTGATAACAAAATAGACTGGTTTTTTAACCAACAACTATACCTGTATACAGAAAGATGCTAAAGGATTATCCACACTATGTGCAAACTTGTATAAAAACTTGATTACGTATTTATTTTAAAAAATATCATAATATTGCA